CAAAAGCACCCACGGCCCCTTCCCCACTCCCCCCATCACCTTGCACTCCTTGTACTTTCTTGGCACATGTCGCTGTAAAGCCCTGATATCTGCAGAGCAGTAGGAAATTGCTTGGCGACGTCTGCGCGAGCTCCCAGCCCGCCGGTGCCAGGGAAGATGTCACCGTGCTGAACAGCAGCGGCTGCCAGCGGGAGGCTCAGAGATGCCGATTTTAATACAGAGACTTAATTTCAAATATGGTTCACAGTTTGCACGTGGCTGAAAAACGTCCCTTACCACCTGGATGCTCAGGACGCTGTTTGGGGATGGGACACATTTCAGTTCAGACGATATCTTTTTGTTTCAGTCGGTGCCTTTGCAGCGTTTCGTGGTTCAGCCAGCAAGGTGTTTTATGTAAGAGCAATGGCAGAGAATACGCCTGATTAAAAATCATCCAAAATGATACCAGGGCAGGACATTAATCTGAAATTGAACTGAATGGCAGAGTTCGGATGCTTTTTGCAAATGCTCTGTTTCACACCACAGTGAGAAAGGAATGATTTGCTTCCTATGCTACATAGTTGCATGCTGCATGCAGTGATGATGCATCTGGAGTGGATTTGTTATAAAGTACAATATAAACTGGAAGAAAAAAAAAAAGAGTTTTAAAGGATATAAATACTGTCATAAACTTAAGCCCAGTAAGAGGAGCGTGCCTTAAAGTGAAAAGACTCATGGCTGCGTTTCTGCCACACTGAACAGATGAATCCTGTGCCTGCCACCAAGAGGCAGCTGCCCACTGTGGCTGCAGCACCTGCTGGGGCTGCCTATGGGTGGGTGAGGATCCTGTGCTCACTGCTCCTTGAGGCAGTGAGGGCAGAGGCTCGGGAGGCAGAGCATCACCAAAACATAAGGCAAGAACATACCATGGGGCTTGCCTAGTTCAACTCCCTCATCAAGGCTCTGTGTCAGATGCTGACCTAGCCTGCTTCAAAAAAAACTTGTTTCTTTTCTTTAGTGACTTTAGTGCAACTGGTCTTCAAAGGGATGTTTTTTTTTTTTTTTAATTTTGCTGGTTTGTTTTACAGATAGTTCAGGTGTTTGTATTTTCACCCACTACAGAGTCAGTTGAGCTCTGCCTGCCCTTCTGCCCAGCACAGCCCCACTGGAGAGATGGGTGAACAGGCATCCATCTCCATCCCTCAGCCTCTGCTTGTGGTCTGTAAGAAGAGGGGCTTTGCTGGGATATTTGGGATGTCCAGGTGCGTGCATGGAGGGGATGCTGGGAAACAGAGAGGTGTGGTTGTGGGGACCAGCACTGCAACCAGGCATGCCAGCAGCGCGCTTTGGGTATGTCCTCCTATCCATGACAAGAAGAGCAAAATGCAGTACTGAAGCACGAAACAAGCACTGTGTTTGCCTGTAGCCCTTGCTGGTAACAACCAGCTCCAGACCTTTGTGGTGTCTGGATTTATGCACACTTGCTCAGGATGGAGGGAGAGCACGGCTCTTATTTTCGTACTTGATTCTCACATGGAATAATGGGGGGAGAAGAGAGGAGGAGGGGGCAAGATGCAGCTGCAAAAACAGTTGGTGAGACATAAAAATCCCTATTGTTGTGTTGCGGCTCTCGGTGTCCTTCAACTTCTGGGCACAGCCACCCCCCTGGCTCAGGTTCAATGCACAGGGGAGCCGTGGGGCTCGAAGCCCCCTCTTGTTTTTCCCTAAGCCCCACTGTCAATTGTGCTTTTGTTCAAGGAAAAAAAATAGCCCAATGCATGACAATTTATAGCCGGGGAAGCAATTAAAAAAAAATTTATTATCCTTCCTTCCCACCCCTCTAACAGAGTGTTGCAGCAGCGGGGATTTTTGATAGCAGAAATAGGAACAAAATCAGAAGTGTGAGACCCGGTGTCGGTTTGCAGAGCAGATTTGGGAGTATCAGCTGTGTGCTGGGAAGCGGCAGCCCCGGAGCACAGTGGGATGCCGATCTCCCTGCTAGGGCACCCACTTCTGTAGCGTGGGGAGTGGAGTCCCTTCCCTAGGGAGGGACACTCAGTGCTGGGAGGTGAAAGGGGCTTGAGGAGAAACAGAAAACAAGGCAATGACTCACCCCACAGGTTTACCCCTATCCTGCTCTTTAGAACAGGAGCCGATGACTCGGACTGCATGGTTCTCCAAAATAGCCAGAGAATGGATGAAATGTGCCCAAAGCTGTGCTTGCTTTTCATTTTTTTTCCCCTCACTCCCTTTCAAAAATAAGGAATTGCTGCCTAGGAGCAGGTACTCCCTTGTTCTGTCACCCAGACAAAAAGTTTTCAGAGCCCATTTCTCCTGGGTTCATCGATTTCCGTTGGCGGCGGAATTGCAGCAGGGCGTGTGTGCAACGTGAGGTGGCAGTGGGGAGAGAGTGCGGACCCCAGAGCTGGGAGATCTGCCCCGGGAGGGTGAGGTTGTCCCTGGGACCCTAGGAGGAGGCACAGCCCGGGGTCGGGCACTGCTCGGTGCTGTGCAAGAGCGGCGAGGGACTGCACTGGGAAACGCATCCCTGCCACAGCGCCGTTTGATGCCGACGTTGGAGAGGAAACCAAAACAATCTTTTCCTTTCAAGCCCCGATTTCAAAACAAAACCGAAGGAGAAAAAAGATATATTTAAAAAACCCTCTAAATTTCCAAGTGCGGCTTTGAAGAGCCCTTGACTGCTGCTTTGCCCCCGCCGCCATGCCCCTGCCCTCTCCCCGTGCTGCCTCCCGGATGGTGGCTTGAGCAGCATCCTGCTCAATAATTGCTAGAATCTGATTAAAAAAAAAAAGGAAAGGAAAGGAACGGAGAGAGAAAAAAAGAAGCAACAGCAGAAGGGAAAATGCACACTAGCATTCAGGTGCTAACCTACTTATTTGAAAGTAATTTATTTTCCATTTTGCCCGTTTTCCCCCTTTAAAACAGAACGCTGAAAGAAAGAATAAGTGCTTTAACATTTCAATGTTGTGCTCTGGTAATTACTTTTTCACTTTTCCCCTAAGTTCCAATGTGAAAACCTCACAGGGGGGTCTTTGCTGCAGCAGGGCTACAGTTCCCAATCCCGAGCGCGAGATCTGCAATTACAAACCCATTCGGCGCCCTTCCCTATCATTAATATGCACAAAATCCCGCTGCTAATCTTATAATCTGTTTTGTTTCATCAATTGCCTGCCTGGCACCGGGCGGGAGAGAAGGAGAGGGAAAGAGAAGGGAAGAAAGAGGGACAGAATAAAGCTGGGAAGCACGTAGCGCTCCCAAAAGTAAACTGAGAAACAAATAAATGGGATTTTATTTGTTATAAGGCGCAGCTCGTTAGGGCTGGGAAATGAACTCGGGACTCTCTGCTGGAGGGGATCTGAGGGACTTTGGGGGAAATGGAAGTGCCCCAGTGCTGGAGTGAAGGCATGGAATCGGGTCCTCTATTCCTCTGGAATGAAGGTTTTGGGGCCAGGGTCTGTCGGGACCCCTGGTGCTGCAGGGACAATGCAGGAGTTATGGGGGAATCCACTCCCCCTCCCGACACGGCACAGAGGGAATAAAACAATCTATGCCACACGGGTCCTATTGAGATTAATGAAAAAATTATGCAAAAGGAAAAAAAAAAAAAGATCCCGACCCTGTATCTTATTTTGCTTTCCCTGTGCCAGGCCTCGCCCCCATGCTGCCCTGCACCTGATGATTTACAGACGTAATCTGTGGGGAGAGCAAGAAATGCGCCTGGCCCTGCCTGTCCCAGATCATCTCCTAAGTAATTGTTTCTCATTAGTCCCGATAATGTTTTAACAGCGCTACCCGTAATTTAGTCATCCAAGAATTAATAACAAAGGGACTCACAGGGCTAGGGCTGGGGGGGCTACAAGATACAATCTGGGAAGGTAGTCCTGCGTTCATCTGATTAGCCTGGGGGTTCCCGTGCCATGGGGACAGCTCACCCTGCTCTGAGACAGGTCACCCCACACCATTGGGATGGGTCACCCTGCAGCAGGACAGCTCGCCCCGTGCCACCTGGACCTTGGGGTCATCTTGTACGTACCCCAGTGCTGGGGCTTGGCCGAGCCGCAGCTCTCCAGGCACGGTGTGTTGGGTTGAGGCTGGATTCTGTTCTCCTTATTTCTTTTTTCTTTTTCCCTTCCTCTCCCCTCCATCAGAACTAAGCAAAGCGTTCAAAAAGTGTTGCTCGAGGTTCGGGAAGCACGAGAAGAGAGCAGATGGGAGGGAGAAGGTGCTGTGACTCCCTGCATAAAATGTCCATGGAGGCGGCGAGGAATGAGACCCAAAAACAACTGTTTTCTATTTACAAATTTAAATAAACAGAACAGCCTTCCCCGCGGTGTTTGTCTAAGTGCAGCAGCATTGCTGCTGTGTAGGTCATGAAAAGGTTGGTGCATAGTTTAAAACTTCCCATTCTGTTAATTTCTTAAAGAACAGTCGTTCATAGTCTGAGCACAAAAGCTCATGATTTAATGAGGAACAGAAACAAAATCTCTGATTGTTGGTGTTTCAAACTTCATTGGAGTCCTCTGGCAACCACAAGTTGATCCTCTGCAGCTTCAATACCCTTTAGCCCTCCATATAAGAGTACATGCTGAATAGAGGACAATGCCTGGTTGTTATGTTTATTTACCCTTACTACAAGCTGGGTTAACCTCTTCAAAACAGCTTTACTAAGCCCGTTAACCACACGGCCCACATGACCTGTCGCCGTATCCCTAATGTGATGTAAATCTGACTCGCGACCATATGCACGAGTTCTGCCGCATTGTGCCGCCGAGAAACGCGCCTCGACCGCGGCTGCCGAAAGCAGAGACAGAGTCTTGTGTAGGGGCAGTGTTTTAATGGCACAGATAAGGGAGGGGGGTG